TGATGATGATGATGATATGATGATGATGATGATGATGATGATTCTGATGATGATGATCCTTCTTCTGATTCTGATGATTCTTCTGATTAAATTAGAAAATATAACCAAGTATGATCTCTGTTTTGTTGATGTGAATTGTCGCAGCTGTGGAAGGATGGAGAAAAGCAAGCCGAGGTGTCTGGCGGCAGTGAGGCGTGGGTGGTGATTGATAAAGTGAAAGATATGATTCGGAATGGCTGATGATGCCTACCCTGTTTGAGGCTGTGAGCCAAGGATGGCCTGCATGGCTGCCACGGCCAACTAACCAACCATCTGGAATTCTTGTCAGCTATCGCGTGCACAACGGTGCCTTGAAAGCTGAAACATACAAGCAAGCTTCAAACAGAGCAATCCCCAAGCCGGCAATGCATCAGCCCATTCTTGAATGTCGTACTTTGGTGGCTGCTGCGTCTTTTTTTTCTTCTTTTTTTTAATATTTTTTTTACCATTTGTTCTGCAAAGTGTGCTCTTTTAGTTCATACTTCATACTAACTTCATAGATATGTGACAATATATAGCCTCCTGATCAGTTGGTGAAACTCGGATGAAACAGTCTTTCACAGCTCCTCATTTGTTGTGCTCTCCTGCGTCTCTGCCTACCGTTTAGCGGACAGTTCTGTTCACGATATATATCCATATCTATGTACAGCCCCGGATGAGATGTTGAAACTACGACGAAACAGTTTGCCACGGCCACTCGTTTGTTGTCCTCTTCTCCCTCTCTGCCTACAGTTTGACGATATATGTACATATATTATATATATAGATGAGTCGGTGAAACTCCGACGAAACAGTTTGTCACAGCCCCTCGTTTGTTGTCCTCTTCTCCCTCTCTGCCTACAGTTTACCGGGCAGTTCTATTTGACGATATATAGTATATACACATTAGACACACATAAAGGTTGGACGCACATATACTCAGTCTGCAAGCAGACCAATGCTGTGGATGCTGACCAATGATTAGGCGGTCGCAGTCAAAGTCTGCCCAGTCGGAATCGGAGGGTGAAACAGAGCGGAAAGTTGGGAGGTGGTAGACATAGACTACTCCATGTGAATTGTGAGAAAGACGATTGCAGAATGTCAACGAGCGGAGACAGTTCGAGTCCGTTGTGGAATGGTTCAACATAGAAGCGACTTTTCCTCCGATTAGCAGCAGCTGTGCTTTGCTGAGGTGTACGCTGTGTGTACGCTGTGTGTACGCTGTGTGTACGCTGTGTGTACGCTGTGTGTACGCTGTGTGTACGCTGTGTGTACCCCTGGGGATTTTGATCGCTGCAGGGGAATGTCGGCATGAGAGTGTAGACGATAATTGGGCTCGGGCGCCACTGTGCCCTGTGCCTTTTACCCTAGAAAGAGACCCTGAGCCCCGCTCTTGTGTCCGTAGTAGGGTTCTTTGGAGGCCTCTCTGTGCAGAGTGATATAGGGCCTGCCATGAGAGAACAGCCCCCTGCAGGGGTGATGGTCGACGGTTCAAGTCCCCATGTGATCATTAACAAAAATGCAATTCAGTACTCGTGCTGTTGTTGTTGTTGTTGTTGTTGTTGTTGTTGTTGTTGTTGTTGTTGTTGTTGTTGCTGTTGCGAAACTGCTGACGTTTATCTGGAAGCACCCTGTGAAAAGGACGAAGGCGATGATGATGGCGTACGTGTAAGGTGCTTTCTTCTTTGAATGTGTTTGGTTTTAAAATTTGAAATTTGAAATGCAGATCATTCAATTCCAGCAGGTGCTGCTCCCCACCAATAGATGGAGCTGTTTTTAACCAAAAAAAAAAAAAAAAAAAAAAGCAATTCGTTGTGCGAAAGTGTACGATGCTTGTTCATTTTTAGAATTTTAACAAATGTTACATCGGCTGGGAGACATGGACATGGGAGAAGTCAGTTTTTTTGGGGAGGAGGCAAAGGAAAATTTTTAATTTGGCAACATTGGTTGAAAATTGAAAATTGAAATCAGTTTTCCAACTTTCCAAACTTTCTTGAAATTTCTGCAGCATTTTTTGAAATTTCTACGGCTCGCAAAATTTATCAGTTACCATTCTCCTCTTTTTTTTCTTTTTTTTTGGGTGGGTGGGGGGGGGGGGGGGGGGGGGGGATCCAGTGGACCACGGACCGGATGTTAAACTGATCAGAACAGATGCTGCACTTGATCTTAGCCATGCGGCTTCAAATTCCAATAGAATGATCACTTTTTTTTTTACTTTTTTTTTCAAAAAGGCGACGGCCTTGAGATATCATCATTGAATTGACTTAAGGTAATTCAGAATTATCTTATTCTCGTCATCGCAACGGATTGTATCTGGATTCGAACTTGGGTCTGTATTTCAACAACAGTTCGTTGGGTGTACCAACTGAGCGGGTCGAACCCCCGATATTTTGTTTTGACAAAAAAGAGTAATAGCTGATCTTTTCCAAGGACTGGCTAAATCCAGTGATCTCCTTTCACGACAGGCTATGGTCCCCGGAATGAGTTCACCATTCCAGGTGTCTTTCATGCATGCTCCACGCATGAAATAAGTCGTGTCCGTCTTGAGAGTTGGTTACAATGATAACTATTAAACCACAGTACTTCCGAAAGTCGCGGTTGCATGCGCACCACGACGCGCTGCGATGACCGGGCCTGGGGCGCTGACATAAATTCATTCCAGTGGAAATGTTGCGGCACTGTAGCAATGGCCGGCCGCATGCTTGCCACAAGTACTGGTGGGACTTCCGTAAGTACTGGTGTTTTAATAACTACTAATAATAACTATTAATAAGCCAATTTCTTGAAAATGATGTGCCAATCACAGTGGGGGGGGGAAAAAAAAGTGTTTTCCAACTTTTCATCTTTCTTGTCAGCTTTTTTTTTGCAGCTCACAAAATTTATCAGTTGGCCTTCCTATTCTTCAATTTCTTCTTCAAGTTTGAAATTCCAAGGCGTTTCTTTTTTTTTTTGTGTGTGTGTGGGCCGGGGGGAGGAGAGGGGGGGGGAACTTCGATACATTAATAGCTCGAGTCTCTTGACAAGTGGATTGCATGAAAACGATGTGCCAATCCCCGTGAAAAAAAAAAACTGTTTGGCCAATCCCCGTGAAAAAAAAAAACTGTTCATGTCACCTGCCACCTACAAATGTCATCCAAAGTTTCCAAACAGGTTTTTTTGAATTGTTCTCTTTCTTTTTTTTTTTTTTTTTTGAAATTTTTGATACATTAATAACTTGACAAGTGGATTGCATGAAAACGGTGTGCCAATCCCTGTGAAAAAAACTGTTTGTGTGCAATTGCTTGATCCCATGCTTACTTGGTAGACATTTGCAGTCGTCTCCATTTTGCTAGTCATAAAAATATTTGTGTTAATAATCAAATTATCCTTCGGCCTAGCTTTCAAGTTTGCAGTGGTGATCTTATTTCTATTCAACAAAATTGGAAGTCTTTTTTTTTTTTTTTTTTTTTTTTTTTTTTTTAAATTTGGGTTAGTTCCCGGTTTTATGTGTGTTATCCTTGTGCAGGGGGCATGCTAATCTTCTCGGTATTGTTCCAATTTTAATGGATGTCCCGTGAGGACTCCGTTTCGCATTATTGCCTATGCTTGGGTTTTGATTCATTTAAATAGCAGTTTTTTTCCATCTTTTTCACTTTGTGATGCGCCTACAGTCTTCCCCCAAACAAAATGCACATTCGTTAATTACGAAAAGGATGCACTGGTTGTGTTCTATTCGAATATAACGCACATCCGTTATGCTACGGATACAGCGTACCAACTTTCAGAAAACGGGCCTCCCATAAAATTAGTACCCTGTACCCATACTTGTCCTTCGGGATTAGCATGGCCTCTGCGCAAGGATGATGAGAACAGCAAGAGTTAGCACAGGTCTGACCAGACGCAAACACACACTTAGCCGTGAAAAAGTCCATGGCAAAAGACATGTGGAAAAGAATCTCGAATCAGAAAGGATGTAAGCGTCACAGCACGAAAACAGCAGCAAGCTATGGCAGACCATAGCCAGCTACGGTGCTACCTCCGCCTCAACTTAGAAGAGTGAAAATGTGGACGATGAAAGCGCACTAGCCATCCCCAACTAGTTTCAGTCGCTGGACACGCCACGAAACTCGGCACAACCCCTACGCTATCCGCGTCGACATTCAGTGCACCAACGTAATAATCTGTAGGAACGTAACCTAAACCTTTATCATGATTCAGAAGACAAACCCATAGGACCCTGCCCGTAGAGTACCGCGGCTTCCGCGGGTAATGCTCAGCACTGCCCGCCAAAACTGGTTTTCCTGAACCGACGTTCAAAAAGGTACTGGTGCGAGACTCGGCCTCCTTCAATTCCTACGGACCGCTGCATTTCCACAGACCGCAGTTTGAAACTGGCAGGTTTCCTTATTCAGGAAACAACTTCATCGATGGTCCGCAAGTGATCAAAGGCATGATCCTACACCGCAGCACACTCCACCTGCAGTATACAGTCAAACTCCCCTGAATTATCAGCCGATTAAACCATAAATCAAGTAGTAGTACAAATCGGGAGGGAGCGAGCAGGGCAGTTGTGTGTGTGTGTGTGTGTGTGTGTGTGTGTGTGTGTGTGTGTGTGTGTGAGAGAGAGAGAGAGAGAGAGAGAGAGAGAGAGAGAGGTCTTTTGCACGTGTACAGATTGACTCCCAAGCTTTTGTTATTGCTTGTAATCTGTGTGGGCACATTTTCCTGTGTTAAGGAGGCATTCACGTGCTCATCTGTGTATTGTCATGAAATATATAAATGGCATCAAAAGCCAGATTCCTATTAGGGAAACCCACAGCTCTTCTTCCTCCGTCCTTCGAACTCCTTCCTTCTTTTCCTTTTTTCCTTGAAAAATGAAAGCAAGGGGGAGGGGAGGGAAGAGGTGTATAAAGGAGGGGGGAGCAAGCCGCCTACCTCAGTTGGTTAGGCACACAAGTGGCTTCACGAGGTCATGGGTTCAATCCCTACTGAGTCGTATTGACGGCCTGGTCACGCTCAGTGGCAACCAACTGAGATAGTTGGTTTGCTCCCCCTGGCCGATATTGGCAGGGTCTTTGGCCATCACGTGTGTGTGTGTAGCGGGGGGTGGGGTGTTGTGTGTGGTGTATGCTCGATGGGGGCAGACTCAGCATATTGCCAGTGACTTGCTCCCCCTGGCCATAGACACTGCTGCTACTCGATGGGGACAGGGGACGTAGATAGGAGGTGCAGCCACCGGCAAAACGCTCGGTCTTTGCGTCCCCGACCGGAGTGCCTTTGCTGAAAAGTCCTCCCCTGTCCCCGGTCACAGGGGAGTCTTGCTTTCTCCAACCTTGTGGAACCTTAGTGAAATAGGCCAGCCAGCCATATGTCAGAGCTGAAGTGCTTCAGCATGCATCTGGTCTTGCGATTGGTAAGCTTCACGACAGCTGACCACAAACATACACCCGATATATTGATGGGGCAGAGCATGACAGGCTGACACAGACTCTTTGTACGCATCTGGTCGTGCAATTGGTCAGGTTCATGGCAGCTGACCACTTATTATGCAATTACAACTGAGCAACGCTCTTTTTTTTTTTTTTTTTTTTTTTTTT